GTGCTCCAAAAATGGCGACATTTTGCCATTCTGCTGTCGATTTTTTGACTCCAAAATAATGGTTTGGCCTGCGGTTTTTTGTGTTGGCAATTTTTCATGCTGTCATTTTATTGATTTGATTTATGGATTTCGTGTGCATCGAATTTGTTACAAATGTCGCCGTGCGCCAGAGGCCATCGAATGTCCGGCCGCTGTAATCTCAGCATTCGAACAATGCGACTTTAGGAATTTGCATTTAAACGGCACAAAGCCACTCGCATTTAAGGCCCTTTCAAAGGCTTATTTTTGCTTAATTCAATTGTTTGGCCAGGAAATTCACAGTATTTTTCGCTTTAAACGGTGCAGCAGCAGCTTCAGCCACTGGATTAGATACACGAGTGACGGGCCCTCGAGGGGAGTTGCATCTGCCATAGGCCTTGTTGCCACAGAATTCTTCCTCTCCATGCAAATATTTTCCATCGGGAGCGACGACTAGGACTACGACGAGACAAGTGCTTCGGAAAATTTGCAGCATAGATGGGGTAGCAGAAAAATTGAAGGCAGAAAAAAAAAAGGAAAAATGTTGACGGCACAAAATAGCAGCACAAGCAGAAATTGCATCCCCGGGCACTGCAAGGGATAATCCATTTCGGCATAATAAATAAAGCAGTAATTGCCAAGTGAATACAGCGCCAGTCAGGATCTATGAACTCCAGCTGCAATGTAGCTATACCCCTTCTATATCGCCCCTCATGTTGCACCACCTACCTCCCCCCCCTGCCCAATGTGATCCCATGTGTGTGTTCGTCCTGCTCTGTGGCAGCCTGCATAATAGACGAATTATGTTTGCCTCAGCAAAAATGCAAAGTATCAAGGGCCCAGGAGCCGAGATGCCGAGATGCCTCCTTTTGCCGGCTGGCTGCATATTAAAGCAGCCGTCAAATGCCTTAATATATGCGGAGATTACTTTCATATTTCATGTACGGGCATTCATGCTACTACCTCCGCCAGTGTCCAGTGAGCTGCCCAGAATTTAATTTGCACTGCTTGCGGAGAGATAACGCTGAATTTAAAGTCCCCATTCTTGGTGTAGAGCTACAGTTGTGGTCAAGATTATAGCATTTTGGGGGAAATGGGAGGTGTCACTTGTTAACACATGTAGGTTAGATTAGAACATGACATGCGGCTTACCCGAAATTTATACCAAATTTATTCAAGCCATGATCTACTGAAGAATGGAATTAGTATGGGGAATACTCTGGAGACTTATTATTATAAATCATAGAAGCATTTTGATGACCCCATCTGTACTTAGGATATTCGCATGCAAGTCGAGTACTAGATGGGTGCTTGACTTTTGCTTGTGGAAAATGTCTGTCAACTTTGTAGACCCGCGCACACGTGAACTGAGGGGCCGTCAAGTGAGTGAGTTTTCACCGCTTTTCCGAGCGTAAGACTCTCTGAGTATATATCTGTCTGTGTGTGTGTTGCAGATAACCTTTTGAACCTTTGACAAACTGCTGCAGCGAACTTTTGCCATTCGTTTGGAAAATTTTAATAATCTTTTATCGAGCGGGCTGGATCTACATCTTCTTCAACTTCAACATCTATACCGTCGTTCGTCTACTTTATATATACCTACGTTTATATTTTTTCTCCTTTTTTTCATTAAAACTTGTCAACTGCATATTAGGTGGGGATCCGCGTGCGTGAGGGGCTACCATCTTGCCACATTGTTGCCGTGTCAATCCGCCGGAGTTTGTGGCAAGTGTTCGGCTTGAACTTTGCACGCAGCGGCTTTTGTGTGTGTGTGTGAAGAGCTTTTGGGGTTATTCAGCTTGGTTTTTTTTTTTTTTGCCTATACTAAACCAGCCGCCTTTGTGCTCCAAGTTGGCAACATTGTGGCCCGCCTTGTTAATCATTTCGATGACAATGTGGCGCCCATGTTCGCTGTCACCCTTCATTCTCGCAGAATTGCAAATAATTCACTGCCAGCGGTCGTTAGATGGAAAATCCAGCTGCAAAAAAGGGTTGGGGCATGTGCGTCGTGTCTCTATTAGATATTTTAGCCATATTCTACCCTTTGATTACACGCCTCGAAGGTTGGCAGCTATGCGAAATGAGTTCTGCTCTCTGTCAAGATTACTTATTCTTCCAACTGGCTAATTATACCCTCTAGTCTAGGGTGGGGTGTATATTAGTCATCAAACTAGATGTTTAACTAAAGGACTTATATAAATTCTATAAAGGAGAACAAAAAGAACATTACTTCTCCTCTGACTCGCAAGTCATTATAGAACTTCAAAGAAAACGGATAACAAGTAACTCTTAGTCGATGCTTTCTCTGGAATTTATCCCCACTTACTGGTTTTAATGATGCACTCGCTGGTTGCCAAGCGATGGTTATACCAGGGAGGGGGTGAAGTTGCAGATTTATAAATAAGCCAAAGCTCAAATCGAATCTGCAGCGGGTCTCGTAGCAGCTCGGCTGTCTTGTTGCCCTCTTGTGCCACTTGTTTGCCATTTGTTCGTTTAGTTTACAATGCAATTAACCCATTTTAAAGTTCCGCCACTCAACCGCAAGGGAAAGGGGCGGCTAAAACCGAGGGCTGACAAAAGACGCAGCCATTTCTTTTCCCTTGGATTCAGTTTCCTCCACGAGAACACCCAACTGCCGCCCGTCAAGCGAAAATCAGTTTCACAGCAAACCAGCAAAAACTAATTACGACTTGCTCTGGCAAACTTGCAGCTGGAAATTGTACCGCAAAGTGCAATTTAGACGAAAGTCGAGCGGCAGCAGCAGCAGTAGCAGCAAAAGTCGACTCAAGTTGCGTTGCGACAGCGAAACAGAGCGCGTAAAAATTAAAAACCGTCGGCGTTCGGACGTGGCAATGGCAATGTTGTTTTTTAAATAATTAAATCCGCTTTATTAGAATATTAAACTTTTATGGCTACGGCTACCAGGCGACCGCAGTCACCGCAGCGGCTCAACAAGAGCCCGATAAAATGTTAAAACATTTAGCCAGAGCTCTTTCTGACCAGGCCAACCCAAAGAGCAACAACAACAACAGCGAGATCAAATTGCAGGACTTCAGAAATTTGTAGCCAGGATAACACGGGATGCTGGGGACGAGCTGTTGGCCGTGTCATAAATAAGGGCAGCAGCGCACAGCATGTGGCTCACATATAAAAATCTGTAGGCCAAAGCCCCATAAAACCGATAACCTTGGCCCTCCACAACAGTGGATAGCATCGGCATCTGCACTGGCACAATATCAAGGCACTTAAATTATATTTCAATAAAAAGGATATTAAGGAAATTGAAATTAGTTGGTGATTTGTACTCATTTATGTTTAGTTATAAAAGATTTTTACATTCCTTAAATAAGGAGGAAATGTTAATGTGGATAAAAATCAAATTTATAGCTATGAATACTCTAAGTATCCGATTTGCAATTTACTTACATTATTTTTTTACCTCGATTAAGTTCAGTTTATATACCAAACTTTTCTTGAAGTGCCCATCTTCACAGGCTAATGCTCCTCCATCGGTGGCGATGACAACAGCGGCAACCTGGGCTTGTCCTGGCGCGTCTTTTGTTGCCATTTTATGCGCCGTCCTGTTTATTTACGGCTATTTACCGCCTACATGATAAAAGCCTTTTGCTGGCATCATCGCGCATAAAAGCGGAGCTATCCCGGGCTATCCAAACCCCAGGATCTCCGGCTCCTCCCGGCAAGAGAGAGAGGTAACTTTTTGAGTAATTATATGGCCAGCGCAGATTTGTAGGCCCCGCCACCTACTCCTACGCGACCTACTTTCCCCCCTTAACTCGACTCCAGTCGACTCGACTTGGACCGGGATAGATACAAATATTTTATTGCTCCTCGAGGACATGAGCCGCACATAAGCGTACCACGTAGCGTATACTTGATGCCGCGCCACTGGATGCCCAGGGTAATAATGAAAACGATAGATAATTATGGTCGAGGCTGCCTTGTGACTTTTAATGGACTTTGCAAGGCCTTGTGTTCCCAGTGAAAGTGACTGACTCGCCGCCATCGGCTGCATGGGGTTAATCTAAATTTATAACTTTATTCCGTTTTTTTTTACTTTTTTCCACCAGCAGTCGCGACCCATTCCAGTGACCAGCACATCCTGCTCCTGGGCCGCAGTTTGTTTTTATGGGTTTTTTTCGAGCATAATTTCTCCCCACCTCCTTTTTTTTGGCTGTAGTTTTTCCTGCATGGAAGCGATAATGAAATAATTTGAACTTTTCAGTTTTGCTGATTTTTCTTCGGCTTACCAGAGCATCCGTGCATGTAAGTAAATATATGTATGTGTATGTGTGGCAAGGATAACGCAGCAAACCCATAAAATTATGCAAAACTTTGTCATTAAATATGGAACAAGGGGGAGGGAATAGGGCGGCTATAGGGTTTCGCCGCCCTAGGAACAATTTGTTATTTGGCTTTGGACTTTGCTCTTGAAGTGTTGTTTACCCGGCTAGCCATTCTGCCATTCCACCATCCTTTTCACCCAAAAATTTTCATCGGTCTATATGTTTGTGTGTGTGTGTGAGTGTGTGAGTGTATGGGATCAGCGTCGAGGGAAAAGGTTAAAAAACGGAACTTTTATAATTTAACTTGTGTGCTAATTGCACTTTGTGGGGTAATTTTGCGTGTCAGTGAAGTTTTGCAGACGCATTTCGGTGCATGTGTGTGCGTGTGTGGGTTTATGGAGCGCATTTGAGTGCCACACACACACACACAGGAATCGGTATATCCTGTGCTTTAATGTTTGCTTTGAGCACCAAAAACATTCCTGAGCACTGCACTTGAGAGTTTGTGGCCCAAAGTGGAAGCGGAGTTTAGTTTAAAGATCGCATAAAGTTAAGTGCAGTTCTTTTATTTTTGTTCGATTTTTTGCCTTGCGGGTGGTAAAACTTTTTCTCTGCACTTGCCATGTTGCAACTGCAAAAATAATAATTATTTATTTGTTTTTCACATTTCCATTGCAGATACTGAGTGTAATTTACTTTTGGGGCAGCTACAAACAGACAATAATAATTAGTTGTATGGCACAACAACAACAAAAGCTGCAACAGCGATAACAACAAAGGGCTGTGCAATGAAAATTAATTAGAAAATATTTAACATCACGCCGCCGCAATTTGTCAAGGGGAAAGCGCACAAAAGTGCGGTCCCTCGCTCAATTTCTAATTAGAGAACTCTTGCACACCATCAAAAAGCAAAAACAAAAAAAAAAAAAGTATATATAAAACCTCGAAAATAAACTGGAAAACTGGAAATTAAACAAAGCGGGAAAGCGACTATGCAAAGTATGTTGGCGCTTAACCAAATGAAAACTTAAAGCGAACAAAAACACACACAACAAAAAGTCAGTCCACAACTCCAGTAAATTTAATAACAAAGAGGAAAACTCCGGAACCTAGTAGCTCCACATCATACGCGCCGTGCGCGGAACAATGAAAATAATTTCGCGTAGCATACGTACAGGCGCCTTGGCCACGGCCCACGCCACCAACGCCCCCGGAATTAGGAAAAGCAGCCAGCGACGCAACCGCGCTCCGCTCAAAATGAATTGCCCCATTCTGATTGTAATTAGCCTCGGATGGCTGCTGCACGCGCACGCCGGAAGCGGCGGGTTCGCCGTCGAGGCCGCCATTTCAAATCGAGGTAAGTGATTCGGATTCCCCTATTTCTATGTTATATATATATAAATATATATATAGAGTAAGGTTCTCTGGGTTCGAGGCAGAGTCACATCTGATTCAGCTCGAACAATAGCCCTACAGAGTGAGCCAGCTGCGCAAAGGGGTTTGTGCAGTTTTCTAATGCACAGAAAGGAAAATCGAAGAAAAATGCTTGAAATGAAATTTCAGTTTTATTTTTCTTATTTAAAATTGGTTATAAACTTTCTCCAAAGATATTTTATGATACTTCCAAGTTAATTCCCTTAAATTCCTCTAACCCTCTCTGTAAGATAAAAAGTAAAAGAATCTTTCTGGAACTTTATCAATGTTTTAGTCCCAAAAACTTTGCTAAATCGACAGTCACTAAGAATCAATAATTACCATAACCTTTTCACTTTATTTAATTACAAATTTGGATGCAATAAATTGGCAATTGATTTCTTGTGGTTTCAACTTTCATTAGCCTTTTACACAACGCAAACACATTTCATCATTAAAAAATTCTTAAAAATCGGAAATATCTTTTACTTTTATTTTCTGTGAAAACCAAAGAAGCCCAATATAGTTTTCTGTGTATTTATTTCTACATCGCTCGGTAGTCATCGCTTTTTATTTCGCACAGCACTCAACGCAAGTTGCATTTATGTTTTTACATAATAGAGAGTGCGAGCGGGGGCAATAAGAGCCGGGCACCAAAAGCGCTGCCGGGAACAAAAAAAAAGAAGAATAATGTAAAAAATATAATAAAATACGAGAGGCAGCTCTACCACTGCCGCCACCGCACCCCGCGTAATCCCTTTTTGCTATTTTAATGCCAATGTAACGCTGCATAAATCCAGGCGCCGCGGTCCTCGAGCACGTTGTGGTGTTTAATGCTGAAGCTGCCGGCGAGTAGCGCGAAAAAAAAGATAGAGTAGAAGCTTACCGCGAGATAGAGAATGGAACGAGACCGAGGTCATTTGCGGAGCGGTCAGCTGAGCCACTGCCACCACTGCTGCCAGCATGTTTGGCCACCCACTAAGCCCCAAAACCCCAAGCCACAATTAATAACTCGTTATGGCCGCGTAAACTTAAGCAGTTGCCTCTCTTTCACTGCATTTAAACGCCGAACTTTCAATTGCCAAGTTTTCCTCCTCTCAAAAGAACGAGAAAAAAAGAGTTCGGGAAAAACTGACGAAAATTCTGAACAAATAGTTGGCTTATCTGTGCAGAAGTTTATCTGGGACTCCAAGACCATTGTCTGGCACTTTGCTTTCCTTCTATTAGGCCATGAAAAACATGATATAAATTGAAAACTCAGGTGCGCCGCCAGCCGCCAGCCAACTTTAAAGCTAAGCGAATTGGCGAACACGGGGCGTATACGCAACGCAAGCCAACCAACCAAGCAACGAACGAACGGGCGCACCCATAAAAACAAATTCGCCATCCAGGGCTATATTTTCCTTTGGTAACTTTTGCCAACCAATCGATAAATTTAAGAGCACAACATTTGTCTCCATTATCGCAAAAATCCGAAGGCAAACACTGTGCAAAAAATGCGGCAGAGGGCTGCAAAATACAAAAAAAAAAAATATAAAAAAAGCAAAAAGAAAAATTGAGAAAAAATAAACGAAAAACTGTGGAGCGCATAAAAGAGCCATCGATGCGTGGCACGGGTTTCGGACTTTTCCAAGGTGGGCGGGGCTTAGAGTGGGCTTTTGGTGAGGGGAAAAGAGGTGTAGGAGGAGGTCATGTATAGTACTCCCTTTCTACGACAACAAAGCACCCAAACCCACCCACAGAGCCACAAAAGGGCGGGCACAATAAAACAGAACAAACCAAAGACAGACCTGTTCTTATCCCAGCTACATCTGCAATATAGAGTGGAAAAAGGGGCAAAGGCAGTAAAGCTATATCAAAGGTGAGAATGTGCTTTTGTCACTGATCATAAATTTCTTCGTGCGCCAGTTACCTTTAGCGTTTGCTCTGCCTTTGTGTATGTGTTTGTACAGGGAGAGAAATGTGACTTCATCTCTGGATATATATATTTTAATAATAAATATATACTAGTAAAGGGAGGAATGTGAAGGAAATAAGTTAGTTAAGAGACACCTTAATATAATATTTAAAAATCCTTACTTACAACTTTTTGAGTGACTTTGGAAACCCGCAGTTAATCATTTCCAGAACCATATTTTTAACTTTTAATCCCTTTTCCCTCTGTGCAGTCAAGGCAAAGAACGAGAGGCAATAAAACGTAACAATTGACATTGGAACACTGTGAAAGGGGAGCCGAAGTTGGCAAAGGAAAAGCGAAAGGAAAATGGGATGGTGCTATGCTTGCTCTGATAGCAGCAAATTGGCGGGGCATTTGAAAGAGTGGTGGCAGGTGGTGGGTGAATGGGTGCGAAGGTTGCATCGCCTTGACAAATGTTTATTGAGTAACACGAGCCATAAACTGCAAGCGAGAAGATCGCATCCACCTCCGTCCGTTGGCCAAACTTTCAGCTTTGACCCATTTTCATGAGCCATGTGCTATGTTGGGCCATAGAAATTTCTGCCATCGTCTGATCCCTCTGCTCCCTCCTCCCTGCTTTCTGCTTCCTGCTCCCAGCTCCCGCTTCCTGCCTCAATTTTCTGGCATCAGTTGCCTGTTTGAGAATCTGGTGCACGTGATGCACTTGAAGGATGCGCAGTGGCTCACATCCAGCTACCATTTTATAAACTGACAACAATTTTTCATAAGACTGCAGAAGCAGCAGCAGCAGCAAAAGCGGCAGCCGAGCATCATCAGCAGACAGCAGCAAACACAAACAACAGCTGTTTTCCGGCTCGAGGGCTTTTCCGCCCACCGACTATACGCCACACCCACTAACGCTGCATTTTTGCATATCTTGCTGTTTTGTTTGGCATTTTTAGTGATTTCACTTAAATTTTCATAACAAAATATGCACAGTGCGTGCTTGCAGCTCACTTTTGGCTCAACACAGCAGCTTTGTTTGGTGGGTGGGTGGATTGGTTGGATGTATGGTTGGCAAGGCCGCGGGTCGGGATTTTTTGAGGCATGGAAGGGGAAAGCTGGCAACATGTTCTAGCTGTCATATATTTTTTCAACAGATTTTTGTAACCCCCACCGCCAGCGACGCTCCCACTTTTTCACAGATTTCCTCTCAGCGGCTAAAACCGTATGAGTATGTATTTGCAGATGCTTTTGGGAAATTGTTCATAGGGTTAGTTTTCCCGCCCGCCAATTCGCTGGCTCTATTCCGCAGACTCTGAGCCATGTTAGTACAGCGACGGGTCGAAGCTGGAAGGGATCGAACTCGGGGCTGGCAAACGGCCTGACATGGAGTACGTGTTTGTATGCAGTCCTCGCCTCCATTTACTGATCCAGCACTGTGGGAAAAGTCAGGATTTGAAATGTTGAATGGGAAATCTTGATAGGTTGTCTTTCATTGTTAGAAAATGCAATTTCATATTTTAAATTTTACTTTTTTGTGTCAGTCAACAATCTATAATAAGCTAAAATGAGTTATTATTATTTTACATTAACTTATTAGAAACAAATTTGGGTTTAAGTTCACACACTGCTTAAATTTCATCCCAAGAAGTTTTCTGATATATCATCTAAACTATTTTCTCAGTGGATTGTTACTACAGCTCCAACGCTCCGACTATAGTATTATATTTGCGAATCCCTTTGGGTATGTTGCCAGCAATAAATTTCCATCAGACACCGTTGCCGCTGCCGTCGCCGTAGTCGTTGTCGTTTGTGCCAGGCGTCCAGGACTTTTTCCAGCCTCTCGCCGACCGCGCCTCCATTTCCATTAACTCCCAGTGCCATGTCCCAACTCAACCCATCCCTTCGGTTACTGATGGTTACTGGGGAAACAAATCTCTGGCTCAGCTGGCGCATTTGTTGGTTTGTGTTGCGGTTTTTCCGAATTCGTTTTGATTGTTTGTCATATTTCCGTGCATACAATTCATTTTCTATTGCCCAGAAAGCGGCTCGACTAGCCGGCCCCCGTGGTGTAGGGCTCAATTACGTGACCAGGACGACCCGAGCCAGCTCTTCTCCGCCGGGTTGACAATATTCCAACTAGGCCCAGATGTACATCCCCCTGAATTCCCTTCTCTCTAAACATATATATATATATGTACGCTGTCATGTTTCCGCCGCTACTCCTGAAAAAGCGTATCAATGAAATATGTTCCGATGGTAAGGGGAGAGCTGGAAAAAAAGAGGAATGAACGATTCCCCTGGAGAGCCCTGGGCGCATAACTTAAAACAAATACGAAACTGCAAAATATACGAGCGGGCAAATGGAAATTGAAAATATCCTATTACCAGGGGATTGACGCCGACAGCGCAACACCGACGACTGTAATTGAAGGCTTCACTTAACGGGGATTTCGGTATGCTTACGACCAGGATCACATATAGGAGCTACTCTCGCTCTCTCCCTATATATATGCTTATGTATATATCCTTTATAAATGCGAATATTAGCATAGACATTTGCACGCTGGGTCCCCTGGGCGATTGCCATGCGATAATTATGGCAGGCAACCCGTAAAAGACGCTGCGAGAAATCCCCAAGAAATTTATTAATTAGCACCAGAACGGGATGGAATGGAGGAGGTGCCATGCTCATGTTCTGTGGCCTCCAAGCTCCTTTCACTCCTCCACTCCTATTTCACCAATTAAAGCCAATTTTGCCATGTTTCTTCAGATGGGCGGTCACATTCAAATGTGTTTTCCGTCCTCCAGAGGGGATACATGCTGGTTTTTCGGTTTGAACGAAGGAAGGAAGTTGGGTAGCCCAAAAGCTGGTAGGAGTAGCTGAGGGTAGCAGGGTCGGTGGATCGGAATGGGTCTGTAGCATCCACTAATCGCATTATTAACGCGCCGTTAACATTTTGCGACATTGACTTGAACTTTGGAAGTGACTTTCATGGCTAAGACATGGGGAATGGCAAATGTGGAGTGGCGCGCGATGTGGATTTGCTTGGCATTCAAAATATGCTTAGAAGACATGGCCAGGGCCAACATTTATATAATACCCTTGAAGTTTTCGGCATTTGCCAAATTCCGCTTGAACGAGCCATGCTACTGAAATAGCAGATTGGGCGGAGTTGAGGAGTGCCAATGAGTCCTTTCAAGAATTTTCCATGTACCATGGCAATGCCAAGCCCTCAAAGCCAATAACGAGTGTCTTCGGACCGGCCATAATCATAATAATTAATACCCATTTACCTTCTTTTGCCGAGCTGAAAATCAAGCCATTATCGCCCATCCACTTGTCCGGGGCGATAATTATGGTCGCCCGTGCACAGATTGTCGGCTGTCCCGAAAATTATGCACTATATACTAATGACAGTCCTCGGAGGTGCAATGCTCTTTGGGCGGTTGGGCGCATAATGAGTGCGCATAAACTTTTATTGCTATTCCTGTGGAGAGAGTGCGCCGCGGTCAAAACAGGTAGAAGCACAGGTGTCATGTCCACAGGGAAAAAATATGATTTAGCCCCATTTATAAAATATTTTTAAAGTATATTTATATATGAAATGAATGTAGGATCTTTTTTCAATATCTTTATAAGAACTTTGACATAAATATTCAGAATGATTTTTTTATAATTAAAGAAATGCCAAAAAACGGGCTTAATTACATTCTCTATTCAGGTGAAAACTATTGTTCCTTTTTTAAAAATATAAATAAAACACGAATTTGTGATGAAACTCTTTAAGAAACAATTTTTTAAAAGTTCTCTTTCCTGAAATCTATCAATGAAAATTGGTGAAAGTTTTTTCGCTGTGTTCGTGCGTGCCAAGCAACAATGCCATTGACACTGGCCAGCAAAACGAGTGGCGGAAAAAATCAGCGAGAATTTTCACATCCGCCGAAAAGCTCTCTATATATTTTTCAGCGTTTTTAAATAAAATTCCCGAGGAAGTGAGGGGTGAAAAAAATATCTGGCCAAATGACTGTAATTTGCATTGGCAGCTCACACAAAGAGACGCGCGGCACAGGTTAACACCTGCATGAGTGTTGGTTGGGCTTATGTTTGTGTTGGACCTTTCAATTTAAATACAAACACCAACTGACACACACACACACGTTAACAATCGCACGAGTGTGTTTGCATGGACTGTTTGCGGCACGTCACAAAAGTTTCCTGTTGAATTTCCCTTCATTTCCTGGCCAAAGAGATTATTATTTTCATTTCATGCCATGGCCAACGACACAGAAAGCTATATATATTAAGCAGAGACATAAGGGGGCGTGGCATGTTGGGTCTCATTTTCATATTTATGCTGTTGTCGCCCCCTCCGAAAAAACTGTTTACTTACTCGCCTTCATTAACGCTTCATTCGCGGCGGACTTTTAATTTTCAGGGCGACCTGTTAAGGCCAGGGTTTTTTCGTTTTCGTTTCCTTTCCTTTCGGGTGACTCAGGGTGACTCCAAACAGTCTGTGTATACGTATATTCACACATCCGCATATCCGCACATCCGCATCCTTCGTCTTGGTCCTTCGTGCCGTATATTTGCATACTTCCGGTGCGCGCAAAATGATTATCATTATTATTTCTGTTGTTTGCTGTTGTCGTTACCGCGGCCATTACCGTTATTGCAACACAGCTCACCGGCTCCTTGGACGGACATTTGAGTTTCTTGGTCCTGACGCTCGCTGTAGTTCCGAAAATGGCCGCCAATCGGTGGGGAACGTGCGACGGTTATGGCTTATTTGTGCAAATGAGCTGACGTCCATTACATTGTCCGTGGGGAGGTGAAATGCAAATGATTGTTTTGGCTGGCTGGCTGGCTCAATGTCTGCCGCACAGCAAGGTCACCGCAGGAGCCCCAAGGACACTTGGTCTCTCACATGTGAATAAGTATATGTCCTACACGTACACACTGCTACTTAAAGACACGCGAGTGAAAGTAAGTGAAATGGCCTCGAATGACTTAGTCCACCTGCCTTTGCTTAATGGACAATAAGGTAAACTCATAGTACAGCGATCCTTGATTGATTTTCCACTATAAATTGGCACATTTACTTATCGAAATAAACTGGGGGAGCCACTGAAAAAGTGCAAACTTTCGACCACAAAATGCTAGCCAAGTTTGCACGTTGCGCAAACAAATTGCACCTGCTTCAGTTTGATTGGCCACCTGCAGCCCGCTCCTTTGCATGGCCCTTCATGGCCTTTCGCTTCTAGCCAGGTCGTAAAACACTTTTGCCTATTTCGCTGAGTTGGCTTCACCAAATGCCACCTTCTACTCCTGCTCCTCCTCCAGCTTCAGCTGATGCTCCTTTTGCTCCTTCTGCTGTTGTTTTTAAGAGCCATTTGTCCGATGCCCGCGGCTATTTACAGCCATTGTACAGACTTGGCGAATTTATCAAGCATGGCAGAGTCGCTCAGTGGGTCACTGGATGGTGGATGGTGGATGCTGGATACTGGATGCCGGATACTAGATGCTGCAGCTGACGTTTCCGCCCTGCTTTTTTCCTTTCCCGTTCCCGTTCCCGTTCGCTTTTTCTCTTTTGGCTTAATTTCAAAACAGTTGCGCTTATATTGGCAGTTATGCTGCAAATTTATTGGCATGCTTTGTAAACTGGGTTAGTTGCATATATCTCGAAGCCGCAAGCTGCGAGCCAAACGATTAACGTTGAGTAACCCAAATTGATGTCACCACCCATCGCCCATCGCCCACATTTTCCCCCGTTGGAACATCATTTTTTCCCACTCAGCAAAGTTTCCGTAGCGGCTGGTTATAGCCCATAAATTCTCATACATTGTCGAGTAATAGCTAAACCCTGTTTACCCCCTGACAGGCACAAGTTCATGGAGAAAGATAAAGAAAAAATGTTGCAACATTTTTTTTGGCAACGATGGCCAATTTTTTTTACTTTACCAAGCAGCAGGATTTCTAAAAGTGATTGCAGATTTTAGAATTCATAATTTTAAGCAGAGAAATTACATAAAAATACTTCATCAATTGATGACAGTATTTTCCTTCAGTGTTCTTTGAGCGTAAAACTTAAGCTATTCCAAGTTTCAAGAACCGGTGACAATGAACGCGAATCTCTCTGGCAGTGCAACGCCTGACACGGGTTAATCGGACGTGCGTGGTGCTTCTCATTTATCGGTCATTAACATAGCCAGCTAGAATGCTCGGAAAGCCGTGGCTTTGAGCTATTTCGATCAGAAGACTGAGAACCTTCGTGGGTTGCAAATCGCTTACCGGGTGTTCGGCAAGAAGTATTATAGAATCGAGATCAGGATGAGGCACAACATGGTGGCCTACCTGTACTGCCTGGTGAGGGATCTGTACGCCGAGCATGGAGATCCCCGGGTGGCACATTTACCACTACTGGGCAACCTGTGGATAGTGCTGGCCATTGTTGGGATCTATGTGGCCTTTGTGCTACACTACGGACCACGTTGGATGGAGCACCGGGATCCTTTCGAGCTGAAGCGGGTGATGCAGGTGTACAATGTCTTCCAAGTGTTTGCCAATGCCACGATATTTGTGATTGGCTTGACCAACACCTATCTGCAACCGGGTTATAGTTGGACCTGTCAGCCAGTGGATCACACGGACACTTCGCCGGCCATGATGAAGACTTTGTACGCCTCGTATGCATATTATATGCTCAAGTACGTGGATCTGTTGGATACGGTTAGTAGGGGCATCAAAATCTCCTACTTTTCCCATCTTAACTTTTAAGTACATTTCCAGGTTTTCATAGTGCTGAGGAAGAAGAACTCTCAAGTGAGCTTCCTGCATGTTTACCACCACGGCGGCATGGTCTTTGGGGTCTCCATTTTCATGACCTTCCTGGGTGGCTCTCACTGTACTATGCTGGGGGTCATCAATCTCCTAGTGCACACTGTGATGTATGCCTACTACTATGCTGCATCTTTGGGAGCAGTGAAGAACCTTTTGTGGTGGAAGCAGAAGATAACACAGTTGCAACTGATGCAGTTCGGTTACCTCACCTTTCATTTCCTGCTCGTTATCCTCCGGAATCCGTGCCAGTTTCCCGTGTTCATTGCCTTCATTGGATTCATCCAGAACATCTTTATGTTTTCGATGTTCTTCGATTTCTATTACAAAACCTATATACGCAAGCAGCAGAAGTCCGTGGAGAGCAAGCTGAAAGCCAGCTGAGCTGCCGTAGAATATAAGGTTCAAGTTCACGCCGCGTCATTTCCATATTAAATTGTGTAATAAGCTGGTCGGTCGCTTATGCAAATGGGCACCGATCGAACCCAAAATGCCTGGTATAAATAAACATTCGGATTGTGTCCTACAACCCTCCGCTTCATCGCCACAAAAGTGTGTATATATCGCTCAATTGTTTTGCTTTGGTAATCAATTTCAATTTGCCATGGGCTAAATTTGGAGGCTCCTTAAACTTTCCCCGAAAAACTTCTTGGCCGCCTGGGAAAATCGAGCGGCAGCGACAAGTTATGAAGTAAGTTCGGATGGCATATCTTTTATTAAAGGGTTAAATGAAATATCGATGAAGTCGGCACCAGTTATGGCCGCCACGTGTTTCCAGTGCCACATTTATGTTCCGGCCATGTGTCGTATGTGGCCCAGGGCCACCTTTTACCTTTCTGGCCAATGTTGTTTTTTCTGTCCCCCACTTTTTTCAAAGCCAAAGAGTGGAAGAACCCGCCAGCTGAACAGTGCTACCCCATGTTAAACACATTTGCCTAGAAGGCTGCCTCATGCACGGCTTATTCATATATATTTTCATTTTTTTGCCTTTGCTTTGGCATTTTTTCTTCTTTTGCAGAAGTTTTACATCTGCTTTCGCTCCCTCACAAATATATATAAGAAAAAAGTTGAGAGCCAAGGGGAATAAATGAGGGAAACCGCTTTAAAAATGCTTGTAAGCAAGGCAGCAAGTGGAAAGCCGCAGGGCGGCGTTTGTGCCTCGTTTAGGCCCGCCCGCACAATATTTTTTCAGTTATGTAAATTTTAGCCCAGTCAGTCCGGTGATGACGTCTCCAAAGGCACCACCAGCAGCAGCAGCAGCAGCAACATCAACAGCATCAAACTTTGCTGTTCAGTCGAGCGAGAGCCTTCGATGGCAAATTAAAAGCCAACAAACCGAAGGTCGCCTTATTTTTGCGGCTGTCGCAAATGGAGCTTATTAAGTGGCAACAGCAGATCATTGCCAGTCGTTTGTCAGGCTCATATTTGTGGCTGGTCGAGGGAGTCCCCTCCAACTTTGGGCCACATTATGCTAAAAGTATCATGTGGGCACTCAAAAAAATATGAAAAACAAATTCAGACAAACTTTTTCATATCTCTTTAAGGCCTCTTAAGGTTGGTTTTTCTGGTATAAACTTAATTCAAATTTACTAAGTGCATATTGTCACTGCAGTTTCCCAAACCTCAGACAATAAATTAGCTGTAAATATTTTCCTAAACTTCAGACCATAAAATTGGAGTAACTTTTTCTTAACAATTTTAGGCAGTACTTTTTTTGGTAAGTGTGCCTTGTGTTGTTGCTGTGCGTTTGGTAGGAACATTAAAACTTTTCTAATAACGAACTTCTGCGACTGAAGCCGAGCGTAAACATTCGAGACGGAAGCTGGTCGGCGGATGTTGTTCATATGGGCTACAATGTAGTAGCAGCATCTAGCATCCAGCATCATCATTAACATCAGTACAGTCAGCGATCATTGCTCAGAAAGGGTTCAATGAACGCTCAGTAGTAGTTACGCTGCAGGGATATCAATCGGAGGGCCGGGCCAAAAAGATTGGTTACCGAACATGGCGTACATGGCGTATGCTTGATATCTCCCCAGCATTTATGACTCGCATGGCATTTAAGTGCTGGCCGTAAAACTGTTATGTAAACTACGAGTGCGAGTGCGATTGCGAATGTGAGTACGATTCTTTACGGCCACTCGCAGCAGCATTGCAGGATGGCTATATAGCTATGGCTCTGGCTCTGGCCATTACTCAGCATAAAACTTGGCCCGGGCCAAAGGACGAAACTCCTTGATTGTGTGCCCATTTATGTATGTTTGGTACACATGCGAGCATATCGACTGGGTCACGACCACACTGGCCATTCGAATCCTGCGACAATGTTGTAGCCGAATGTAAATAATAAGCACAGGCACATACGCTACCATTTATTCATGTTGTACAGTGAACACCCATCTGCACCTCTCCCTGTCACACACTTTTTACGACACATGCTCCAATGCATTCCAATCAATTCCCCGCGGGTTAAACAACTTCTTAGCTATGTGCTTGTGTTCTATCCTCCAAAGGGAGAAGCGGGCTGTTAAAATAACTTTAACCTGCTGGCAATTATCCACAAATATAGGCTAATCCTGTTTACCTTTTCGAATTATCAAGAGCAAATCAATTTGCTATTGATGTTGTGAGCTCGAACATTTAGCCCTGGGTCACAAAAAGCTCTTTAGCTCTTTATAATCCCATGAAAATGAACCCGAATATTAAGCAACCCAAATCTGGAATCTCTTTCATGTGTGCAGGTAATCAACTGGGCCCAGAAAGGGCCACGTTTCGATGCTCCTTTCACCTGTTGCTGTAATGAAGAAATCTAAATTCCATTAAGTTTATGCCCGTTTCCGTTCGTTCAGTTCAGTTCAGTGCTCAATGAAAAGCACTTAGAGTGACCTTTTCCACCCCCAAATCGCACGTACATGTGCCTCCTCCTAGCCTCATGCCACATGCCCCCAAAAGAGGGAGAAAAACAGCAACAATAACACGCGGCGGATCGGGACCAAAATGGGTCACAACATTTTCGGTAAGCTCAACGTATTTGCCTAATGGAGATTAGCCGGCATTTTGGCTTTATTTGAATTCTGGTTGGCAATTTATTGCCGATGCTTATCGATTTTTATCGATGTCTCTCTCTGTGCTTTTTTGGGCCACTTCCTTGGCCGAATGTCGCACTTAAGCACTTTGTAGGTTTTTATCGCTGTAATTTTTGGTCTAACAAAACAATAAATTCGGTGCTTCAGTCTCGAGTGGCAGGTGAATTGCTTGCTGGCAACTAAGTTGAAATTTGTAATAAATTTACGGCCCAGTGGGTGGGTGTGGGCGGCGGGTGAGCTTATCTGAGAGCCGGGCAATTTTGTTAATTTGTAAGTACACGGCGCTGTAATTAAGTGCGATTTGAAATATGTGACAGGCGGACCACGCATGTGTATGGCTCTCGAATAAATCAAAGTAATTAACTGCACGGGCGAACATGCAACAGGTCACGGGGTCACGCGGCACTGTTAATGTGGAAAGTTATCAATATCTGGATTAACAGAATGGGGGCAGGCCAGCACTCAGAAAAGACAAATGATTATTAATTTGGAAAAAAACCATCAACGAAATGTACTTTCTGTGTTCTGAAGGCCAACAAGTTTTAGTTTTTGTATTACTTTAGTGAAAAAAGAAAAACATAAATAAATAACTTAAGAAATCCACAAATTAAGACCAATTTATGAAGTTTTTCTGCAAAATAAACCTTTGTTAAGTTCCTTAGAACTTTTTTCTCTTAAAAAGGAAGTTTTACTTTACGGAAACACCTTTGAAAAGTTTGGAAAAAAACACTGCTAAGTGCCTATAAATTTTTTGGTATTTATTTATGTTCGATGAAAATTTATTGACTTTTCTCTGAGTGCAAATGTTATTCGATTCGAAGCCGGAAAGCCTTTTCGTGTTCATCCGATCAATCAACTCAATTAATATTGATAGAGCGGTAAACGAGAAACAAAAAAGCCGGAAAAAAGCAGAGCTGTCAAACGAGCAAGTGTAAAAATCAATGCCCAGCTGGTCATTAATAATGCACTGCCAACTAATGCACTGCTAATATCTAAGCCATTGGCATTTTCCGGCCAGCGGGAAACTTTGTGTTTGACTTTGACAAACTTTGTGACGCAACTTGTGCGCACTTGTGTGAGTGTGTGGCGGCAAGGAACTTATGACTTATCAATGACCGAACTCCATAGCCACAGTCAGTGTTCACTTGATTGAACTTTCAGCTGGCCACAGACGTAGTTGAAGTAGCAGAAACCCGAGATGCAGGACAAACTTTCTCCACCTTGGTCTGTCCTGCCGCCACTCGCTCAGTTGCAGCCATAAATCAATACATTTCGATTCCTCTCAACCGGATGCATTCGACTCGAGTGGAGTGCTCCTGCAGAGTAAATAACCGACAAGGACTTTGCCAAGGACTCGAGCAATCTCGGGCATAAATAAGCATTTGTGTAGCGAAGAGACACTCACCTCTATCCAACCATTCCCATTCCCGTTCCCAGCCAGAAAATTATCTACCGGTAATGGAGATTCACAGGAGGCAGCGAAATCTAATGAGCTGGAAACAAACGCTCTTTCAGCTGCATTCTGAGTGACTGGGATCCTGGTTGAAGCCTTGGGAGCATCCCGAGTATCCCAAGTAAATCACGTAGCTCTTGCACTCATTAGCCGGCGGAGTGGTGCCAACATTCCGAGTGGGAAAACACTTTAGCACTGCCAAATGGCTGCCAAGATGGGAACGGGGAAATAAATGTTGAAATAATATGCTTTATTGTATCGCCAGGCGTTGCCATGAATTTTGTTTCGCTTTTATATGGCTATTTATTTTTATTAGGCCCGGCCAGGTCACAGGGGGTAGATGTGTATGTGTGTATGACCAGGTGCTGGCGTGCCAAGACACAGCCCTGCCAAAATGTTCCAGGACCTTCCTTTCCCCATACCCCCTGCCCACCCTCTTACTAGCCGAGACAAGTGTGTTTACAAAGGCGCCAACAAAGGCAATATCCATCGAATACTACGACTACGACTACAACTCCCTGCCATCATTGGAAATTGCCCGAAACGAGTTGTGGACAAACAGATACACAATTGGGTAAACTTGGCCAAAATAAATACGAAAGAACATTTGTACAAATAAAATAAAATGCTAATACCAGAAACCGCAAATATTTTTCCACAAAGTGCAACAATAATAAATGTGACGCAGGAGGAAGGAAATGGTTCGGCAGGAAAAACAAGTTTTTTAAGTTGATGTTTCATTACGACATATTAGGGGAAAATACCAGTAGGCATTACTGTTTACTGGAATATTTTCCAAGAAGAAGCTAGTTAGTACCAATATAGTTTCTAAATCTGTCAGTACATATGAAAACCAAGAGTTTAGTATGTTTATTTCTGGATTTTACATTGCAAACTTAACTTAGAAGACATCTTAAGTTTGGGATTTTCAACTTCAAACATGGTTTTTACGCCCATCAGTAGGTTCAATCTTAAAGGTTCCATTATAAT